GGACGGAAAGGTGACTCACACAGGCTCTTCTTAGCTTAAAAAAGGCAGTGTGTGGGGCCCCAGCTGAGGGAGGAATTGGGCTTCCTGGAACATTTTCAGACCAGTACTGTCTCTTCAGATTGTTTAACAAACTTGAACCACAACCTCTGACCCAACCCACCTATGGCTAAGTTTTCAAGTTTACCAAAAATGTATGCTGCAATATCTAATCTGCTATGACTCTGATGCACTGAATTATTTTCTGTTTTCACTCTTGATATGATTTTCATAGAATTTCTTATTTCATTCTTATATTAAAAAATTTCTAAGCATTATATTTTATCTTTAATGTTCAACCATCTCTATGACATCTGCAGTAAAAATGTCTTATTGAAAATGCTAATTTCATGATTTCTTTTTTAGTTTATGGATTTTCCTATATTGTATTTTCTTTACCCTGTATGTATGCACTGTGAAGTTCTTTGAACATGTAACAATTTAAAAAAAGTGATGTATAGTTGGCTTACAATATTATATTAGTTACAGGTGTATTACATAGTGATTCAGTATTTTCATAGATTACACACAGTATAAAATATTATAAAATATTGACTATATCCCCTGTGCTGGACATTATAACCCTGTGACTTATTTATTTTATAAATGGTTATTGGTATTTCTTAATCCACTCTACATGCTTTGCTGTCCCTCACACCCACCCCTCTCTCCTCTACGTTCCAGTAACCACTAGTTTCTTCTTTGAGTCTGTGAGTCTGATTCTCTTTTGTTATATTTGTTCATTTATTTTTATTTTCTTAATACTTATTTTTGTTTATCTGGCTGCATCAGATCTGAGTTGTGGAACATGGTATCTTTTTAGTTGTAGCTTGTGGGGTCTAGTTCCCTGACCAGGGATTGAACCTTGACCCCCTGCATTGGGGGTCTTATTCTCTGGACCATAAAGGAAATCCCTATTTTTATTTTTAGATTCCACATAAAGTGAAAACATACAGCATTTCTCTTTCCCTGTCTGACTTATTTCACTAAGCATAATGCCCTCCAAGTCAATCCATGTTCTCAAAAGACAGGACTTTGTTCTTTTTATTTATTTATTTATTTATTTTGATGTTCAAGTTGATTTTATTTATTTATTTTTTTCCAGATTCTTCTTTGTGTGTGTGTGTGTGTGTGTGTGTGCTTTTATTTATTTATTTATTTATTTATTCCGACTTTGTTCTTTTTAAAACGCTGAAGGGGCTTCCTGGTGGCCCAGTGGTAAAGAATCCGCCTGCCATTGCAAGAGACATGAGAGACCTGGGTTCGATGGGTCGAGAAGATCCCCTGGAGAAGGGAATGGAAACTGATTCCAGTATTCTTGCCTGGAGAATCCCATGCACACAGGAGCCTGGGCGGCTACAGTCCATGGGTTGCAAAGAGTCGGACATGACTGAATTGACTTAGCATGCATGCATTCAGCCTCATATGGTTAGTGGCACCATACTGGCTATATCAAACAGAGTATACTTCATCTTTTTATTTTGCCAAATAGCATCATTATTTTTTTTCATGGAAAGCATTTTATTTTAAATATAGCAGTGTGCTCATGCCAATCCCAAACTCCCAATCTATCTGTCCCCCTACTCCTCCGCTCTGGTAACTCTAAGATTGTTCTCTAAGTCTACAAGTCTGTTTCAGTCTTGTAAATAAGTTTACCCTTGTAAAAGGTTACTGAATAGAGGGGTTTTATTTTATTGGTTTTGTTTTATTTTAAACTGAATAATTTGAAGAATCAACTGGCAAATTTTTTATGCTTTATTGGAATTTTAGAAAAAGTAGGGTGATCATGATAAGCTACCTAGTATGTGAGAGTGATTATAGCATCTCCCCCAAACAGTGAGATAGTTATAATAGAGTTCTAGAATAGCCAGGCAATTATTAAGAGGTGGCGGGATTTTTGAAGATGATACTATAATTCTGGACTCCACTCCTCACCTCAGAGCTGCTGGGCTGCTTTGGAGAAGTGTCCATGAGGAACCCCTTTAACAAGAGATCAAGGTCCTCGATTTGTAACACTGTGTGCTCAGAGGATGGGGCCAGGTCAGGGGCCAGCATGGTCTTGGTTTACATTGAATTCCTCATAGATACTGGGCTCAGCAGAGGGGTGCATGGGCTTCAGGGGAATGGGAGTGAACCGTCTCTCAGAGAGGGTCCCGAGGTCCAAGTGAGCGTATATCACATCTTCTGCTGGAGAGTCCTGAGAGGAGAGAGGTGAGAATGATGGACTGAGACATGATCTTTGTAAGCTGGGGCTTTGGGCATTGGAGGGGCTCGGGCTATGGCAAGGGTTTGGGCTGGGAGGACTCACCTCGCTGTTCACTCTTCTGTCTTCCCTGGGCTCTCCTTCCATGATGGCAACATCTGTGAATGGAAGAGGGTCAAGGCTCTTCGGGGTGGAGGCAGTTATTACAGACCTCCGTAACTTTGATTGGGACAACAAAGCCAGAAAAAGGCAAGGGTGTGGCCCAGGTTGCTGAGCCTGTCCACTCCACTAAATGAAAAAAAAAAAAAACAAAACATTCCATATACAAGCCCAGCCATTCGCAGACTGTCTCAGGAACCTGTGCAAACCCAGGGACCCATCCTAGGTCTTCTGTTATGGACCATCCTCTTCTACATATGAGCATATTCCCAAGATCATGTTGGGAAGAACAATGGATTGTTGAAGTTGAAGGGAAGAACAGGGCTTGGAATGTCCCTGGTGGCCCAGGGATTAAGAGTCAATCTTCCAGTTCAGGGAGCATGGGTTCTATCCCTGGTGGGAGAACTGAGACCCCACATGCCTTGAAGCAACTATCCTCAATGCTACACCTGCTGAGCCTGCGAGCTTTGGAGCCTTGAACTGCACCCCAGCACTGCAGAGAGGATCCCCCATGCTACTGCCAACACCTGATGCAGCCAAGAATAAATCAACACATATTTTCATAAAAAGATCAGGGTTCCATGGGTCTCTGGAAGATGTTCCACCAGGGATTACAACAACGGAAATCAATTTTTAACCTTCAGAAAGTGAAAACGATGAGCCCACCTCCCCCCTGGGTCAGATGATGCTGAGCTCACCACCTTCAGACTTACGATTTTGGGTAGAACACCAGTGACAGACAAGAGCAGCGAGGAGGAAGCTGGTAGAGGTGGAGGCTATGACAAGCCCAAGGACAACATACAGCATGCTGGAGCGCTCTTGAGGAAGCCCTGCTTCTGCCAACAAGCAAATGGAACAAGGTCTGGTTATTCATTGAGTAGGCTGTGCCCCCACACACTGGATGTATTGTAACCTTGTGTCAAACTGTCAGCATCTGTCAACCTGATCAGTTATGGTCTCCACTTCCCAGGAGGTACCAAAGCATCCAGGAGAGATGCTAGCAGTGGATGAAGTAAAGAGGCCATGAAGACCAGCTGAGGTTTGAACCAAGGTCCCCCAGGCATCGAAACAGTTATTCTCTGCTGCCACATATGACAAGGCATGGCATTTTTGCATGAATGCCTTAATGACTAACCACATTAATCCACAATACATTTCCCCTCCATCCACATGCACCTGGAATGGAATCCTCAAGGAGACATGACACTTTTATAACTGAACTCCGGAATGTTTAGTTCATAAAACACTAACAGAAGAATAACAGACATTTAAGGTGCTCCCTAAAATTCTCCCCTTGCCCCCACCCCCACATCCATCCCCAAAGATCCTGGTGGAGAGAGGGTAAGCATCTCCTTTAAGCATTGGGTTAGGTCACTCTGACCAGCTTTGTGTAATTTAGACATTCCCAGTCACAGAGCATAAGAAGCTCAGTGGCCCCTGTGGTTCTAGGAAGACCACTGTCTCAAGTGCTGACAGGACAGGGATGTCGAGGAGCCCAAAGTCACAGAAATGGGAGGTGGTAGAACCAACACTCACACAGGAACCCTCTGTCTTCTCAGAAATTTGCTGAGATAGCAGACCATCTTGCTTACCTTCTGTGGTGTGTGGGTCCATGGTTGATGGGTAAGTAGTCGTAGTGCATCCTAGGGGAAAGAAGACAGAAGGGGTTAGCAAGTAACCTTCCTCCTACCCACTGAATGAGGACTATTCTTTCTGGAATGTTGACCTCCTGCCTGTCCTTACTCTATCATCCCTCAGAGCACTGATGGGGGAGGGGAGACCTTCTGGTCCCTCCACAAGAATGCATTGAGTAGACCCTCCACCCTAGGGAAGAGATGGTGGAAGGAGGCGGGAAGGATATGTCTGACAATGAAAGACAGCTGTAAGCAAGAAACATTCTCTCTGCTCTGGGAATGAGTATCTATGCTCCTTAATTGGGAAATCACCTGTGTCAGAGGTGCTTCTGGGAAAGCACTAAGAGCAAGGGGTGGATGCAATCTCTGATCTTCCCAAACCAGCCCAGCCTCTCCTCCTCCTGGTCCTACCCTGACCCTTTTCTTTATCTTCCTGGATAGACAGGGCTCTGATGTGGAGCATCCATACAGGAGGTGGAAGAGGGTTGAGATGCCATCGACCATCTCTCTTCCTCTCTGGTTCTCATTGCCTCCATTTCTGCAGAAGTCCTAAGGTCCCCTGACACCAGCACAGAGCCCTTGAGCTAGAGGTCAGTGATAGAGTAAGATGTCATGGAAAAAGCAAAATGGACTTTTTGCCCAGTGCAATCTCATTTACTATGTTGTAAAGCATCGGTTCTCAATGCAAGAATCCCAGAGTGAGTTGCCATTTCCTCGTCTAGGGGACCACGTTTTGTCAGGACTCTTCACTATGACCTGTCTGTCTTGGGTGGCTCTGCACGACATGGCTCATAGCTTCATTGAGTTACGCAAGCCCCTTTACCAGGACAAGGCTGTGATCCACGAAAGGGAGAAAGTGAAGCACAGAGGACTCTGTCGTGCTGCAGTCCACAGGGTCACAAAGAGTTGGACACAAGTTAGCGACTGAAGAGCAACAACAAAGCATGGGCCAGGAGGAGGGTCCTCACCTGTGACAGACAGGAGCAGGGGGTCGCTGGGGTCTGACCACATGTAGGGAGAGTGACTGAAGGAGCCGTAGCACCTGTAGACCCCGCTGTGGGCTGGGGTCCCAGGACCCAGAGGGAACTCGGCCTGGAGTGCTCCGCGGGGGCCCCGCCCTCCAGCGAGCGGGCACCCAAGGTTCTCCCCCTCCCTGAGCAGATGGAACTGGTCAAAGGCGCACTCTGAGCTGCAGAGCAAGGTCACGTTCTCTCCTGACCTCACCACGGGGCCCCGCTGGGCTGAGAGAGAGGGTTTCTTGGACAGACCTAGAAGGAGGAGACCTTGATATTAGAGCACAATGTACCTCTAGTCCTAAATTTAGGACTAAAACCTGAAGTGAGCAACAAGAGAAGCATTGCATTGAGAAGGCCGCTCACCACCAGGAGAGAAAGCCCCACAGCAAGGAATACTAGGCACGGGAAAATTCTTTAAAAATGGGTTGTCATTTAAAATCCTTTTTAAAAAACAATTTTTAAAATGGATTGCCATTTAATATAATTTTTTAAAAAAGAAATATATGTATATGAACAACTGAATCACTCTAATGTACAAGAGGAATTAGCATCTTAAATTGACTAGAATTCAACAAAAAAAGCAAAAAAAAAAAAAAAAATTAAAAAATCAACCGGATTGGGCTGCTCTTGAAAACTGGAACCTACTAACTACTGCTGGGACCATCAGAAAACATGATATTGACCCAGAAGCAGACGTTATGGAGTGGAAATTGCCAGAATCTCACAGGATCTTTGACCACCTCATTCTTGAGGGAGTGTTCAGCGCAGCCCTGCCCACCCCCAGGGTCTGGAAGGGACCCCCTAGTGGGGAGGGTGGGAGGGACCACTCCCCCCTCTTTGTGCAGAAGGATGCATTAAACCACAAGGCTGAGCAACTTCAAGGTTTCAACCTCCGTCCTGACCAACCAGGGGCCAGACTGCAAGGGCATCTGGTACCACAGCGCTCCTGGCAGAGGAAGGGAGCTCTGACATGAAGGCGGGAAGCCAGCCCCTTAAGCAACCAGCGCTGGCTGCCTGAGCCGGGAACTGCCCGGGTCCTTGCTCTGGTGCATCTTCCTCCATTGCTCGTTCTTTCACGTTCTTGCTGCTTCACTCTGTCACCGGCGGTGTCTTCTCTTTACCGCATGGCAGGTGCTCTGTTCTCTTTCCCTTCCGTGTTCACACCTCCTCTCTCTCTGGTTTGTTCCCTCTCCAGAGTGTGTGAGCGTCTCTGCACGCCTGAAGTTGTCTCCCGGTACTGATGCTGGACTGGACACTAGACCTTCTCTGACACAGACAGCAGAGGGGACTGGTCTGGGCACACTCACCTGTCATGACGATGTCCACGGGGTCGCTGGGGGCTGACCACTCATAGGGGGAGTGGCTGAGAGAGCCGTAGCATCGGTAGGTGCCCGCACTCCCTGAGGTCATGGGGCCAATGGAGAAGTCAGCTGGGGCATGCCCGCCCATGAATGTCTCTCCACGTGTCTGGAAATGCCCTATGCTGATTTCCTGGTGCAGGATAAACTTGTCAAACAACAGTGGTGAGTGACAGCGAAGGGTCACATTCCCTCCCGCCTTCATGAGGGGGCCTGGGTGGGCTGAGATGGCGGGTTTTGTGAACACACCTAGGAGCAAAGACTTTGTGAGCTTCAGTGAGTCACCCTGCCTCGGCGCTTCCCCTGACATCTGAAGGTGTGAAACTGTCCCCATGAACCACCAAAGCCAATTACCCTTCCTGTGTGTTCTGTTGCATTTTCTTTAGGCTTGTTCTCAGGCTCTGGCTCATGCTTTTCTCTTTCTCTTTGCTCAAGACCTCCAGCCTCCTCTGTTTTATTCTAAGCTCTTTAGCTTTTGGATCTGCTCTCAGATTCCTGCATGCATACTCAGTCGCTTCAGTCATGTTTGACTCTATACAATCCCGTGGACTGTAGCCCGCCAGGCTCCTCTGTCCATGAGATTCTCCAGGCGACAATACTGGAGTGGGTTGCCATGCTCTCAGCTTCATCCCATCCCTAGTTTGCATTTGAGGGGCTCAGTGGGTTCTGAGAATGCATACCCCGTCTCCCTTCACATACATCTCCTATAACGTCGGTGATGACTGTCATCATTAGAAAGCAGTGGAGAAAAATGGAACATTTCCCATCTGTGACCCCACCTCATGACTCTGGGACTCTTCCCTGGACCCCAGCTCCTTCACAGGGGACCTTAGCTCCCCGCTGGGTGGCAGGTGCTGGATCAGGGTCGTTCCCATCGTCCCTGCTGGCAGCCAGTGACTGCATCCTGTCTAACTCATGCTGAGGGGGGCTCCTCCTTCCTGCGCTGGGGCGCCCCATCCCTCTATTCAAACCCTGAGTTTAAACTCTCAGACTGGGTACTCTTTCTTTGGCTCACTCCTGGCTGGGAACCCTGCGTAAGCCTTGGGTGCACTGGCATGTGGGCCTAAGGTAGGATTGCCGGCAGGCTCGGCCATCGCAGGCTGGGCTGGACCCCTCCTACCTGTGACCACAATCTGCAGGGGGTCACTGTGTGTGTACGAGTAGGCTCCAGAACACATGTAGGACCCGGCATGTTCTCTGGTCACTGGGCCAATGGTGAAGGGCTTGAAATGATATCCCTGGACCTTGGACAAACTGGTCCTGTCTCTTTTGTACAGTCTGAATATCTTAAGTGGAGAATCAGAGTGACATCGAAGAGTCACAGTCTGTCCTAAGGGAACCACAGGGCTTGGCCAGGCTGACAAAGATGGCTTGTCATATTCACCTAGGACAGAAGGAGGCACAGGCTTTGAGAGGCAAATAAGAACAGTCTCCTCTCCCCCCTGCCCCCATGGGCACTTCCCTTCAATTCTTCCAACTCTTCTCCCCTAAACTGCATCACCTTGATGCTCAACAACACCTGGGGTTTGGGGACAGACAGAGACACAGTCGACCCAGGGTGGACATCATGGAGATTCTAAGAATGTGATTCTCAGAAGCGATTCTTCTCAGGAGAAGAATCATTCCTTGGGTTGACAAATTTTTGAGAAACTTTCTCTCAAAACACAAAACACTGGGGATTCCCTGGTGGTCCAGTGATTAGGACTCAGCAATTTCTCAACCAGCGGCCCAGGTTGATCCCTGATCATGGAACTAAGATTCTGCAAGCTGCACGATGCAGGCTAAAGAAAACACCACAGAGAAATTGATGCATGGAAAAGAAGTGAAAGAACTTCCCTGTTGGATTTGTTATAGCTCAAACAGTACAAAATCTTCCTGCAATGCAGGAGAGCAGGGTACAATCCCTGAGCTGGCAAGATCCCCTGAGTAAGAGAATGGCATTCCCACTCCAATATTCTTGCCTGGAGAATCCCATGGACAGAGGAGCCTGGTGAGCTCCAGATCATGGGGTCGCAAAGAGTCGGACACAATTGAGCGACTAACAGTAACAGAACTAACAAGTGAAAAAGCCACTGGACTGAAAAGAAGGAAGGAAACCATGAACCTCACTCCTTTGTTCGCTAGCCTCCATCAAATGTGGGACCAGGTCCAGGTGGCCCTGCCTGATGCCCAGCCCCTCCCCTGGGGTCAGGTCTAGCGGGCGGTCCTGCAGATCGCCCTTTGTTAAGGGCCGGTTGGAGAGGCCATGAGCCACCTACTCTGAGAGGGGTCCGTGGGGTGAGGCCTCTTGCTCCCCTCTCATGATAGAAATGGCACTCAGGGGACCTGGGGTCCACAGGGCACGTGGCTCTCACTGTACTGACAGGGGTCTCACCCTGCCCCCGCCCCCCAGTGTCATCTGCCTCAGCCCCGCCTTATCTGCTCAACACAGAAGTAAGGGATGGGGAGGACTCACCCACAGCTGCCGAGATCCTCAGCCTCACACAGAATCCTAGAAGGAAAAGCCCGTCAGAGATGGCTCGTCCCGATGGACCCCACGCTCCTTGCACCCTCATCCAGGGAACCTGGTCAGTGCTGTGGAGACCCCCGATTTCCACCATAAACCTCTCCTACTGGGTCTTTCCAGACTCACCGAGACTCAGGAGGCTGAGGAGTGTGGGCCACATAGCTCTGCTTCTGTGAGTCAGGAGGCAGGACTGAGCAAAGCTGATCGAGTCACAGGATGCGGAAGGCGGGCGGTGTTGTTCGTACAGTCAGCCTGGTGCATGTCACAGGGGAAGATGGCCAGCCTCTTCTCACACCAGGGATGGAAGTCTGACCTGAGCCTCCTCACTGAGCACGCCTCATGACCCGGGCGTCACTTTTTGTTTCCCTAAACACCGAGGATTTGAACAGATCTTGCTGCCTTTAGGAAGTAGTAACGGTGATTCAGTGTATAGCATGTAAGATGCTTTTCCTAAGCTCATGATAAATGTCATTAACCTTAACTTTTTGCAGAAGAGAAATCACATGTTCCCACCTCGTATCTAAGGCTAAGTGCAGATGCCAATTAAACACTCATTAATAGAGACTTTGATTCTGCATTCTTATGAGAGAAGGAGACATGCATATTATGGCTTTTAGAAAATTTAAAAAAAATTCTATAGTGGAGCATATGTGATTAAGAAACTCACTGTTAGTTTCAGTGTACAACAAGGTGATTCAGTTATACACACGCATGTATCTACTGCTTTTCAAATTCTTTTCCCACTTAGGTAGTCATGGAATATTAAGCAGAGTTCCCTGTGCTATCCAGTAGGTCCTTGTTGGTCATCCATTCTAAATATAGCCGTGGGTATATGTCAAACCCAAACTGCCAATCTATCCCTCCCCCCATCCACTATCCCACCTGGTAACTGTAAGGTCATTCTCTGTGAATCTGTTTTGTAAATAAGTTCATTTTCTTAGATGTCACCAATAAGCGATATCATGTGATATTTGTCTTCCCCTGACTCTTCTTCATCTGAAAATGTTTCTTAACTATGAGTGGAAACCTTGCACACATACACTCTCTCTGTCTCTCTCTCTTGCTTCCTTTCCAATCCAAGGACCACACGTGTACAGAAAGAAAATGTGTGTAAGATGAGTGTGGGGGGCTTTGGGGGAAAAGAAAACTGTTTTGCTAGGAAAGGTGGACAACCTTGCTTACTACATAAAAATGTGTAAGGTAGAGACTTCCAAAGTCCAGAATGCTTGAGTGAGCAGGGTGTCCACAAGAATCAACTGCAAAGCAGGAAAAAATGGCCAGCCGTTTCAGGTCTCTAAGGGCAGACATACACCCGGTTCTGCTTTTGTTCACAGACAGGAAATAACCTCAGTAAGGGCAGTGATGCCACACCATGTTGCTGGGAGTGGGTTGTTAACGTTAGTGATGCTCCCTAAGTAATAAATCTGGTCTCCTCTTGATCCTTATGTATGTAATGGAGTAACAATACAGTCACCTTTCTTAAAATTTCCTTGTATTTCCTTAATATCATGTTTCAAAATAGATCTGTATTCTTTGTCAGTTCAGTTTGTGCATTTTACTGCCATGTAATATTTCATTGCAGATATATAAACCACACATTTTTTAAAAGTAAAAAAATTTGTTGAAGTTAGTTCATGTCTTCTGTACAGCAAAATTGATTCAGCTTGACACATATATTCTTTTTCATTATACTTTATGGCAAGATACTGAATAGAATCCCCTGCGCCATACTGTGGGATCTGACTGTTTATTCATTTTGTGTGTAAATAGATTTCACCTGCTCATCCCAAACTCCAATCCTTCCCTCCCCCTTGGCACCCACAAGCCTGTTCTCTATGTCTGTGAGTCTGTTCCTGTTGCATTGATACGTTCCTTTTAGATTCCACATACGGGTGATAACACATGATAATTGTCTTTCTCTTTCTGTCTTACTTCACTTAATATGTTAAACTCCAGGTCCATCCATGCGGCTGCAAAAGGCATAATTTCTTTTTTTAAATGTCTGAGTAGTATTCCTGTGTGTGTGTGTATATGCGTATACAACGTCTTCTTTATCCATTCATCTGTCGATGGACATTTAGATTGTTCCCATGCCTTGGGTATTGTGGGTTGTGCTGCTGTGAACACAGGGGTGCATGAATCTTTTCAAAGTATAGTTTTTTTTTCCCGGGTATATGCTCAGGATTGGAATTGTTGGATCACATGGAAACTCTGTTTTTGGTTTTTTGAGGAACTTCCATATTGTTTTCCACAGTGGCTGCAACAGATTACACTCCCCCAACAGTGTAAGAGGGTTTCCCACTTCTCCACATGCTCTCCAGCATCTATGATTCATCAACTGCTTAATGATGGCCCTTCTGATCGGTATGAAGTGGTACCTCATCGCAGTGTGAGTTGGCCTTTCTCTACTAATGAGCAATGCTAAGCATCTTTTCATATGCCTGTTGGCCATCTGCGTATCTTCCTTTAACCACAGATATCAATTGTGAGACTGACATCTACGGATTTTGTCTAAAATGAATGACACCTCTGCTAATGTCTCATGAATGTGTTCTGAGTCCAACCTCATGTTGCTTGTCATTGGGCAGAATGATAAGGTCTTCAGGAAAGGAATAGTGACTTTATCTGGAAAGCCAGCAGACCAACGAGATGGTGAACTCGTGCCCCGAAGAATCATCTAATCAGAGTTAAATGTGCTTTTTTTGAAGGGGAGGGATGGTCAAACAGTGTTTACTGAATGTAA